AAATCGATGCAAAATCTAGAGGTTCCGTCGTCCTTCTTCGTCAATAACACGGGTGATGAATACGGGCTGTGCGTTCGCCTGATGATTCCTTTCGATTCCATCTCGGCCATCTGCTTCTGTATCTCAACCAGGGTGTTCTGTGGAATTCGTCTAAAGATTGGCTTGCATTGTCCTCCTGGGATCAACGGTATTCGGTGTTCAACCCAATTGCAAAACCCGTAATCATCTTCCGCGTCTGTGAATAAGTGGGCATACCTGCTCAGTACGTTGCGTATTGCCCGGTTCTGACAATCAGGCACAGCTTTGAGGGCACCCACCCGGTCGGTTCCCCCTTGTTTATCTCGATCGAATCGTTAGCCACGATCACCACATCGTTTTTCAGGTCAATTGTGACACCGAGCCGTTTCAGGATGTCGGTTCCGATGATGGTTTCGGTCGTCTCCTCCACGATGAACATGTCATGGCGGATGAGCGTTTCTCCTATCCTGATTCGTAACCGCTGCGTGCCCGTCACTTTCAAAGAATGCCCGCCGACCGTCTGCATCGTGCTTGAAGATGGGTTTACTGGAACCCTGTTGAACCTCTTCGTAATTGACACTGCCGCTCCTGTGTCTACTATGGCTCGGACAGACACACCTTCTATAGTTACCTGGAGGACTGGTACTCGCCACTGACTCGGCATGGATAGAGAGAAACAATGGGGCACATTGACGTTAGTGCAGAATCTCGCCACATGACCACTCTGGTTGCATCGGAAACAGCGGCGACCGTTCCGGATGACCCGTACATTGTGTTGTGAAGTGGTGCTTGAAGACTCTATCGACAACAGCTGCTCCACCATTTCGGATAGGTGATTTACTTTCTGTTCCAACTCAGCATGCTGGATGCTTCTCACTGTCACTCGTTCCGACAAATCTTGGGCGCCCGTTACCAGATCCAACGCTTTGCTGTCTCCCACCATCGACGCCAATTTCACCTGATCACGGAGTGGATCGGGCAGACTTCGGATAAACTGCTTTTTCAGTAGGCGCTCTCTTGCGTTGCTTTCTAACTCGGGGAGCCCAATCGTTAGATGTCTGTCCAGCTGCTGGAAAAACACCATCAAATCCTCCTGTTCGTCCCATCTGGCTGCGTGAAATCGTTGCAGTGCTCGTTCTGTCTCCAGATCCTTCCCAAATTCTGCACACAAGGCGGCCCTCATCTCAGCGAACGAACAGCTGGGTTTGGCTTTTCGAGTGAGCAGATACACCGCCTTGGCTCGTCCACTCAACCGTGTGCCCAAAGCAATTAGCAAATTTGCATCCCCCTCACACCCGCACAAGCCGCAATTCCGTCGAGCTCATCGAGCCAAGCCTCCACGTCACCGGCCGCAAATTGCTCCAACCGGGTCAACTCCATCGCGATTGGTCACGGCACCAGTGTAGCGAAAATCGACACGACAGGGAGGTAGACGTTTATTGCACACCGAAAATGGGCACATGAGGGTCTGGCGCGCGCCATCGAATATCGACTAGATTTCCGTCCCACAACGCAACACAGGTACGGATGTTAGAGACGAGCCAGTCCTTTCGCCTCGGGAGCTCTGACTTGGAAGATCCGCCTTCCTGTTTTCGCCTCGATCCCCACTTCTCTGTACTTGATTTGGATCGGCCAGGAGTCGTTCGAGAGCTCTCGACTTGCTTGTTCTGGGCTGTGTCAATCGGCTCGGCGTCGGTCCTGTGGGCTGCGCTAGCGGCGTATATGTTTGATTTATTGCGCTGTCCACATATTCCCGCTCCGTAGTTCCGGTCCCAGGCTCGTCGCTAGCCGTCCTTCTCGATCCGTTCTCAGCTAGCTCCGAAGAGCTCCCCCGAGGCATTCTTGGAAGCGGCCCTTGTCGCGTGCTCTTATCCACAAATTGCAACAAAAGATCCCCAGGACTAAATTCTGCTAAACATGCCAGTTCGAGTTCCTGGATCACGTAGCAGTAGACTCGGAGTATGCTTTGGTAACCGTTATCCTCAACAAGAAAAATACGTTGGGCCGAGTTCCTCATCTTGACTGTAAGTACCGAGCTCACACTTTTTGGTATTTCACCTGTTGCTGGTACGGTTCAAGTTTGATCTTACCAACCGCACTAAATTCTTGCTGTTAGATAATATGAAATCAAAGTGACTATTGATGTTTCTCTGTGTAGGGCGCTGGGCTCCGCTGGGCTCACTACATTCCCCATTCCATGGGAATGATGGGTTACACGTCTTCACCCAAGGGAAACCATTTCTGTTCCACTGAAAGTCGTCTGCTTAGATAGAACGTAACTATATGAAAGTAATATTAATGTGGGAAGTGACTGGAAAGCTTTGGAACGCTGGTGTGACGCATGGAAGATGGAAAGCAAGCTTGTTAAATGCAGCGTCACTTATTCTCATTGTACTGTAGCCCTTCAATCCATTGAGACTAGACGTGCACTACTTGCCAACTTTAATACAGTACCGGGTCTAGGTGAGAACTACTCGAACGCCTTCGACATGGCTGGACAAAACAGTATGACCTTTAATCGGTTCTATTGACAGATCTGTGATGTTTATGGGAGCTAGACACTGTAATATCTGTGCTCGACGGCTTGTAGAATACTGCTCACTAGTTTTCAGTAATGCGAGAGGAGAAAGTGAAGCGTTCGTGGACTGTTCTGAGTTCAATTGTCATGGTTCCACAGCATAAAAATTGACATCACATTCTCATTCCAAACCACGATTAATCGCATTGGAAATAGCGACTGTTCGGTCCACACAGACTGCGTTATTGCTATGTTTTAAGAGACCGGTCCATATTCAAGCACTCTGCCGAAAACTGGTTCCAACGTTTGCTACAGATGTTGCCTTTACTGAGACGCATGAACAGCGAACATTTGAGCACTGGGTGACACACGGCACAGTTTGGCATCGTTCTACCCAAAATAACGATCACAGCCTCGGCGTTGGAATTCTTGAAAAGCAACCCATTCTAGAGGATAAGCTATGGGAACATGAGCTTGGTCAAATCTAGCCGCGCACCCCATCGAACATGCTTTCTCGTCCCCTACATAAGTCTCGCATTGAACGCGACAGAGCAAATCACCCGGTATTGCAGAACTGACACCACCACACCTATCTTATTCATATGCATGTCAAACAGCCGTTAGGTTTTAAATTTTTTAGTCCAATTCTCCCTGGAAATGTTCGTGCAAATACGGCGAAAACGCACCTCGAGCACAGTTGGCAGATCGGTAACTTTCCACTATACATGACGAAAACAAATAAATCGTTCCAGTTCAAACTGCCCTCAGTGTAATTGCTCACTCTTCATTCAGTTGTCTCCAGTCCCGCGGCAGTGACAGACTATGCTGCAAACCAAGCGAAAGTTTGGCCCCTGGATTTCATCATCTGTAAGTTCCACGGTGACGTGAAAATAAATGTGCAAGTGCTACCAAAGGTAAACAAGTGAATGATACATGAAAAACGAAGAACCAATTTTGACATTATTCGTGAGAAAAAATCAACTACATCTCCTGGTTAACGAAGTAATCTTCGTGAGTAGTGTACATTCCATAGGAATTCAATTGCCCAGTTCGACTCCTCATCATGAAAAACCATTCAGACTCATCCGAACACGAGTGATAGGAAAATTTTTTAAACATATCAGCAGTATCCATAGATCACTACTAAGTTGGAAGCCAACACATTGTCACAACTAGTTATCAGGACGTTACTGGCATACACAATTTCGTGTGTGATACCGATCGACATGTGATCGACGTATTGCTGTTTCTTGTAACTAGTTGACTGCGCCAAATGATGTGTTTCTTGCCAAACATGTGTTTGTTCATGTCCTGCTACATTGTGTGCTCGGGAACAGAAGAGTTTCAAAGGCGAAATGACGGCGCATAGGAAAATGCGACAGGTTGGCCACGACAGTGTGACAGCATCAATGTACAACCATGAGAAAACTTGGGTACATGCAAAGACGGAAGAAGTCAGTGGAGTGAGAAACAGTAGCCAAACGCCACACACACATGTGTGTGCGTGTGTGCATCACATGATAATCGGAGAGGTCAAGTCTGGGAAAATGCATGACCTAGCGCATTTGATGAACGAATAGAAACAGACGCCAACCACAAACGTGAGAACAAAAGACACGATGTGTCGGCACAATTGGAACCCGTTTGATGGGCTACACAATGGAATATGGAAAATCACCGACGGAAACAATGTCACGGTACAGAGATCGGTAAACGCTGGTGATAACATCTTAGGGGATCAATGTGAAAACGAGGCATTGACTGTGGTTGAGGACTTCCTGATCTAACTGTCAACACCATCTCCATGGGATCGCGTCATGCAATGAGTCCAAGTGGGAATTTGAGGTCTGTGGTGTGAGGTCATCATGCATGAAGTTTAGGAGAACCGAATGATCGAGAACTGCAGTAACGCACATGAATATTATGTGAATTTGTCGTATAAAGATACCAAATATACGATGTTAGAGATACTAGTCGTAAAAGAAATTAAAGTAATTTAATGGTAGGACATGAAATGTCTAAACAGTCGGGAGACACCAGAAGTGTTCGTAAAGAACTCATTAGAAGGAGCGGACAACTATCGAATGATTTTTACCGTTCGTTTGTGAGAAGTGAGCATTATCGCTTGAGCGACTGCAGCCAGGTTACTGGTAAGCAAATGACAGGAAACCGTGAGTTCACGAGAAGTGGTCAGCTGCAAAGAGTAGAGCCCGAGTGAGCGGAACAACTACATCTATCCCAACAATCGTTCAGCAACAAACGAATTTAAGTCCGCCAAGATTTGTGCACACATACCGGCCGCCCAAGCACTAATGATTGTGGTGCGAAATCTGGGCAAGATGGGATTCGGCAATGTTGGAATAAACGGTCCACATGCAAACCGTGGAGCTGCATATTCAATGGCAATACGGAGCACTGATTGAAGCGCGTTCATGTGAGTTACGACTCGAGATTGAACAAAAAGTTACACAAACGTTTGATACTCAAACGCGTGGAGTTGTGTGAAACTACCACCAACATGGACGGGAAAAAGGTGAATTGGGGAAATAAAATAAGCTAGAAAGAAAATAATCCAGAGAGCAGTGGTTACCTTTTTCCTGTGCAGCAGAGTTAACTTGCAGAGCCCAACTAGAAAGACAGGTGTCTTCTCCCCCGGCAAGGCAATACAACAGTGTGCCACTTCTGACGATCGCATCTGAGAAAAAAGGTAATGAAACAACATTTCTGCGGGGTGGCCACATGGAACCGCAACACACAAAATCAGGTCACAAAATGATGTCGCACGAAAAAAGGATCTGGGATCATAATCGGTCAACAAATGCGGCGGCGTCGGCAGATGCCACAGGAATCACAAAGTCAGTCGACACGTGAAACAAAAGGACACATGACAAACCAGGTGATAAGCAAACCTCAGTTTAAAAATGGTTCGAAGGAGTTAACAAAAATGGCTCCGAGACAAGCCCAACTGAGTGGATTACTTGCATAATCCTGTTCCTCCAATGTAATTTAGCGCTTTTAGTAGTGATCAAATGACTGGCACTAATCATTACAGGTAAAACTTAGTGCTAGAAGCATGTCTTAAGGAAAAGATAGAAGACAAACGTGAATAGTGAGGCGTCTTCGTAACGATATAGTGTACAAAAAGGAACTACATTTCATGTAATTAGGCGGCGACACTATACAACTGCGCAGCGACAAACTTCGGAAAATGAAGATCCAGACGATGTATAAACTGCTATCGATTTCCATACTTCGAACGAGAGGGGACAATAGGTAAGGGCGAGACATGTTTTATGTCAGGTGTTTCGTCGTGAGCCACCCGAGTGTATCACCAGCATTTGCCAAGCGAAGCAAAGGAGAGCCTAAAGTAGACAATGTCTGACCAGTAAGACAAACTCATCTGTAATAGCCTTTACGTCTAAAAATTAAGAAAAGTGCATCTTTTGTGAAGTTCATCGCACCGTATGAGTCAGGAGAGACCCGGATACCATCTGGATGTACTCACTGAGTTTTCGACAAAAGCGATGACGTCGAGACTAAAAACCGTAGCTAGAGACATACATGCAGGTGCAGGCCGCTTTAAGAGACAAAGAAAATTGAGAAAAAGCCAATGGGATACCTAATACGGAAATGAAACGATAACTGATCGCGGAAAATTGTCCAACACGAGAGCTGTTTTGACACGGGTATCCCCATCAGAAATTTGTAGAGATTAGCTTTGCATCGGAGAACAATAACAAAAAATGATACGTATACGTCTGAACTGAGAAACTGTGTCTGTAGGGGCACAGCTTAATTTGTACGAAAGTATCCATGCTCTTGCTTGGGCGATATGTATATATGAATCTTGGGGCAAGTGATTCATGTAATAGGTTTTGGTGGATGATTGAGACGTAAGCAGGGTTTCGAAATGTGCGTAGATGTTTTTGGGCCCCACTTGGATCTTGCCCATGTGAATATAGTCGGTATGGTGTTTAGGTCAAGGTAGCAAGAGTCTGCTACTAAATGTTGCCCCATTGTCACATGATCTGAGCGTGTTTAGCAGTTTATTCCACAGATGGCTATATCTGACCGGGGAGACATTTGGGCGCATGCTTGCTTTAGCCTTTGGTATATTCAGTGCGAAGCTTTCGAGTCGAGCTATGTTGCAGTTCGGGTGTAGGTAGATCGGAATAGGTGGTTGTGCGCGTAACAGGTTCAAAAGAAGCAACAAGTTATGCTTCAATCGTCCAATCCAAAGTGGTTCGAGTTGAAGTCTGTTGAGACGCTCTCGATAATTCATGGCAAAGTGCCTACCGATCACATGCTTATTAAACGACCTCTGCAGGTATTCCGCATCTATTATATCGTTCTCTCTTTTATTACTGTATATTATGCTGCAGTATTCGAGGATGGGGCAGGTAAGTAGCTTAAAAAGTTTAGCTCTAGCATGAGTTGTGTGGATTGTGTTGAATATATTAAACATAAATTGTATAGCACGTGCTAATTGGTATTTAGCTTGTTCGGAGAAACTGAATGTACATGAGTGCCTAATTCGGAAGTCACACATGGACAGCTGTATGGCGACAAGTTTATTGTTTAGTGTAACAGATCCTTCGGGACGGAACAGCCGTTTGACATGATGCCTGATTTCTTAGCCTGGAGGTTCATCACATCCATGTGTGGCACAATGAATCAAGAGAACATGTCACCTTGAATGAGTAGTAAGGTTCCGTGAGGTTTGTCATGCCGAAGCTTATAGACGCTCTTGGTATCATCTGCGATTAAGTGAGCACGCAGCCGAGTTCGATCGACCAAAGAGTTGGATGAAGGTCGTGGAATGGAAACTCGATAGATGGTGTTCCAAGCAAGTTTCCCGAAGATGACACATAATACACAGACATGGTGCAAGCGAGTGAAGTCGTTAATAGCGCGGCGAAAGAAACCCCCCGGTGTATCCTTGTGTAGTGGTAGACAATTAAGTACATAGGTGGAGAGTAACTTATCCAGACTCTCGAAGATGCGACGATGAACTACTGCTATGATTGAGGGGAGATAGAAAGAAGGTCCGAAGCATTTCAGAATGTTGACATGGTTTTTGGGGAGCTAGCAGCATGCTTATTCCTGAGACGCATATGGCAATCGGACTTTCTAGTGGCTAGGAAGGTGGTCCCTAATAGATTCCGACTTACTGTGTATTAACAGTTTTGTTATTCCCTAGCATTCCGACACAACAGATTTGGCGATACAATAGCTCAGGCGACGGAAACCCACACATGTAAATAACTGTATAGAAATTAAAAGTAATTCTGCACAAAAAGCGAACTCAGTTCGAAGCCGACAAACTACGACAATTCAGACTAAAGTCATCAATTCCGGTGTCGGAAGAAAATGCAGCTGAAGGTATTGCAAACAGTTCATGGAGTTCGATTATGAATATGGGCTAAGTTTCATTTCTGAGTGGCGGTTCAGACGATATGAGAACATTGTCAAGATCGAATTGAAGCACAAGGGTGACGCATATCGAATCAGGGTGCTGTTAAGGAAGCTTGGTATAACTGAGCCAATCAAACAGGAGGGAGGCGATTTCAACTTCTATGCGGGTAGGCAGTCTTGAATGCGAACAGTTCAATCTGTCTACCTTGACAGAAATCAGTTTAAGTGCCTGATTTCCATCGGTGACCCCCAGTCACATCCCGTTCGTGATACAAGAACTAGGTTACTGAGCAAGATTGAGCTGTTCCGATAGTCACTACAGTAAACAACCATTGAGTGTGTGCATCTGCAAAACCTCAAGCACGATGCGGCCATACTGGAGCGATCATCATCCAACTTCACTTTCAACGTCACAAAGACTTGCTCCCGGTAATCCCCGGAACAGCAGTCCCTGTTAACGCGAGGCCACCGTCCGCGTGCTGAAAGTGTGGTGTATGGTACTTCGTAAGGTTCAGTGGCCACAAAGAGTCATAGCGAAGAACGAAACGTATGATGAGGTCTAACCAAAGACGCCAATCAAGCAGTCGATTACATAGGACCGAATATAAATTCAATGCCTTGCTTGCGATAACTGATCCTAATTTTAAGCACCACTGCAAGCATGTAACTACAAGAATAAACGGCAAGACGGTTCGATTACGGCTCTGTACGGCATTCGACACAAGGATCATATGCAAAAGTACCTGGAAGAAACTGGTTTCACCAATCTACCGTCAGACTAATAATACGGCCAGAAATGCATTCGGCTGTAAAACCCGGTTGCTTAACGAATTCGACTGTGAGCTGGAAATTTCATGTAAGCCAGATCACGGTACGGTCTAGATAGTTGCTTGTGAGCTCAATCTTCTTGCCATTGACTGGATTGGTCGTTTGGAAATTTCCCAAATGTTGATCAATAAGTTGTGTCCAACAACACTTATGCAGTTCCTGAGTGTCAAATCCATCTGAAACAAGTGAAAATGTTTTGGCTCTAATAAATTCAGTACGGGTTCTACTGATGCTGCTCGAAAACAAAAGCAATACGACATTTGCACCCAAATGTCAACGCAAAGAGAACAGTCCCATATGTACCAGAAGATATGTTGGCGGAAATGTGAAGGGGTTATTGTCGCCGCGGCCCTCCGTGAATCAAAAACTACGTACAGGCCTCGATCAACACTAGATTGATTACAAATACACAAGCTCATGTTGTATTTCGCATCAATTAGAGCCGCTCGCAAATTGGCAAACCCATCCGATCATTTTTCTAGTGGTGTGCACTTGAACTCTGTTCTCGCCATTTCAGATCAAGTATGTACCCGGTGTCATCGAGTCGGGCTACAGACACGAGAAAGCAAGAAATCGATTTAGAGCCATCGTTGCTCGTTCGCCAGCTACCACCACAGTAATTGTTTCGCTATAGCTGAGTTATCGGATGTTTACTTAAAAATGGAAGTTGCAGAGGAATGTAAAAATCCGCTCAACATCAACACTCATCGTGGCCTGTTTCGATATACCCGTTGACCTTCTGGCGTTAAGATGGCTCCAGCCATCTTCCAACAAATTATGGATACCATGACTAGCGTATTAGAAGGAGCGCCTGCGAAACACGATGACACCATAAGCATAGGACGAACGAGATCCGACCTCGAAATAATCTGAAACACTAATAGCCCGGGTTGGTTGTTCAGCTGTTGATTGGTTTGCCGAGCCTGACTAAATGGTCTCGTACGATTCGCCACCATGCGAGGTGGCATTGTCATTGCGGTGATGCGCGATGAGCAATCTCACCGATCAAATTGTCTATTCGTGACCGACGGGCAGGTGACTTTTGAAGGTGGCTTCTTCGATTTGCGCCCAGTGACCTGTGCCCAGTTTCACACGCTGCCAAAGTAGTCGCTCGAGTTGTTCGTTGATTGTCTCGCTACGGAACCTGCTATCCAAATCGCCAGTGATCTTTTTTCTGAGTTGTTGGTATATGGACTCGATGTTGATCCTGTGTATAAGTTGTCTTGCAGTGAATGTTTGATTCCGGTTTCCGAATAAAGGGAAAATGTGAGTTCTTGAATTGAAGAAAGTAACTTGGTTTCATCAATGACAAAGATCCCGCCGATCCAACTCGGCAAAGACTGAGCCAATCACCGAATTTGCTTGAACTGATCATCTATTACAGCGTGTTCTTGATAAGTATGCACGGATTACCGGAATCAGACGCTTACAAAAAGAGGTAGATAGACGTCA